GCGGCCTAGAGTGAGCGGAGGCCGGCTTGAGTGAGCGGATATCGTCCTCTTTTGGAAGGTCAAACAAAGTAGTTTCGCTTTCACAACGAAACACACAGCGCCTTCACGACATGGCGGCGGCGGCAACAATACTACAGCGAGAATAAAAGTTACGCCTTCTTTCTTTGCGTGAACATTTGGGCGGTGTTATGCAAATCTTCCCACATAGTGAGGTAGAAATGTGTGGGCGTGTTAGAACGAGCCGTTTTAGGTAGGTGTGGCTGACTCTTAACTTTTATAAAGAATATCTCTTTGGATTTGAGACTTTAGTCTTTGCAACTTTAGAGATCTTCTTTATGCACCAAGAGCTTGTAACACTCCAAAGAGAAAGGAAAAATTGAAATCGCATCATATGACCCCTTTAAAGTGCTACCTATTGCAATACAATACTCAATTCAATTCAATTTCACTTTATTTTTGGAATTTCTTACAAAACTTGTCTAGCATCCCATAGCGTTTACGGTCTAACATTAATTCACATCAATACAACACACACACGCAAAAAATAAATAAATAAAAAATATACATAGTCACATAAAAGCAACGCTCTTCCACATATTTTGCTATGCTTATTTCCGTCATTGGTATAAGTGGCAGTGGGTGGTAATAGACAAGAAATGTATAGTTTTATACCATAGTGCTGATAACGTTTATTTTCCCAAAACGTTTCCCAAAAAAACTGCAGTGTGTTCCCATGACACTGATGTTGGAGAAGCATCCACGATCAAGCAGCATCCCTATAGAATATCATAATTATTTAATTTATGATTAGTGTAATAACATATGAATGGTCTTTATTTATACAAGTGAATAGGTGTGAGTTTTACTAGAGCTGGGATAGAAGAAAAGGAGATTTCTCCACGTTTATTTCTTAAAATTTTTCCCTTTGGCTATTTTTTTTATAGCCACAACTTTATGTTTTCTTTTTGTTGCTCCCTCCCTGAACCCCTAGACTGAGGAGGGAACATAACACCAACGCTATCAGATAAGGCTGGTAGGAAAACTGCCAGACACCTCTAGAAGAAGACCTCTAGTACCAAGCAAAGGAAGGTGAAGACTTATGAACTTAGAAACTAACAGCCCTTCCTGAAATTAATTCCTTAGGCACAGACTGCTTTAAATATATATATATATATATATATATATATATATATATATAAATAAAAAAAAAAAATTGACTCCCCACACAATAAAAAGGTGATATTTCACAATTATTAATTATTTTTTTTAACTTTTGCTTTAATTCAAAATTCCGAGATATAATCTCAAAATCAAGAGATATAAATTATAGTTCTGAGATGAAAATTCACAATGACCTTTTTATTGTTTTATTCCGTGGCGGAAACAGGCTTCCATCTTATACATAATTTAATATTTATATATTATTTTTTTAAATTGGAGACCAAGTATACCTAAGAATTTTGTGTATAAAAAGTAGATTGAAAGTATACTTATTTTATGACTTTGCATTATTTCATTAAACTAGTGGAGGCTTATGTAACCCTTGGCTAGGAAAGTTAAGAACACTAGCTAAATAACGAGCACGCATACTAGACTTCACTTCTTTAATCAATCAGTCAAAGAAATTTGGGTGCGACCTGTAAAAACATTTCCTCTCCCTAGGAACATAACCACTGGCGGAAAACCTTGGGCCCATATCAGACGCTGCCCCACATCATTAGCCTCAAATGGCGCCACACCGGTACTTGCCTGAACCTCGGGTCGTTCTTGACACAAACATTCGTTATCAGCCTGAGTCACCAGGTCTCGCAATTGCTGAGTGAGTGAGTGAGTGAGAGAGAGAGTGAGAGAAAGAGAGAGCGAGAGCGAGAGAGAGAAGCAGGTGCAGAGCAATATACTCTCATGCTAGCTGCTGTTTCCAAGTCAAACAAACACAATTCACACAAGTCACGTCTCTGCTTTACACCAAATGCAATCCTGCCGACTACGACAAGATTATAACACTTGGCAAAGAATGTTAAGAAGCCCAACTACGCCACCTAGGTTCTTTCACCACCCAGGACAATAGAATAATAAAAAAAATAAAATAAAATAAAAAAAAGAAAGAAATTAAACCCAATATGGTTACAATAATATGAAGGACCCAGCTGATTCGAATTGATTGAAGACAGAGACATGACTTCCCAAAACAATGCAAATTTATTTCACAACAATAATCGTTATTCTATAAAATAATTCTAAAAAAATTATCAATATTTATCAATTATCAATTAAATACTCACAGCTAGTAAGAGACAATGATAAATCCAACATTAGCAGCAGGGACAAATCAGACAGCAAATAATTATTGAGCAGAATTTCTTAAAGCAATTGACAAAAAAAAATAAAATAATAATAAAATACAAAATAAAAACTCCCCTTCTGTTAAAGGGGTCATCGGATGCCCATTTTCCACAAGTTGATATGATTCTTTAGGGTCTTAATGAAAAGTCTATAACATACTTTTCAATGGTAGTGTAAAAAACACCCTTTTTACCCTGTCTAAATCAGCTCTGTTTTCAGCACACGGTTCTAGTCCATGTTGCTTTAAATGCTAATGAGCTCTGCTGACCCCACCCCTCTCTTCCGTGGGTGACTAGCCGTTCTAATGATACTGTTTACTTTAGCCACAGAACTTGCTAACTAGCACGTTATTAGGAAAGGCGATTTGCAAAGATAAAAAAAACAACCTTATACTCACTTCATGTAGATGAAGCTGGATCATGAATGATTCGCGCGAACATAAACACATTTAGGCAGATTGAGGATCGGCGCTTTCACTTCAAAACTAAAGTAACGTTAATCCTCCTTCAGCGGCTCAGATGTCGGGAGTAAATGACGACTGCTATATTCATTATTACATTCAACAACAAAACACCTCAATTGCTTAGGAGACATTCTTGTCTTCCCCTGCACCGGAGTCGACACAATGGCGGACTGATGGCAGCTCGCTCAGGGCGGGTCTAAGGTAAGACACCAGTCCAGTCTGTGCTGAAATGCTACAGTCAATCAAACTATCGTGGGAGGTGCCTGTACAGAACTACGTAATTCTGACAGGAATCTCAGAACAGCCTGATTTGAGAAAGGGGATTTTAAAATAGGGATTTAAAAAAAAAAACACTGGGTGGATTTTTATCATTATAGGGTGGATGTGTACACACACTGCCAACACACATTTATGTTCAAACAACAACAAAAGTGAATTTTGCATCCGATGACCCCTTTAAGCTTCAATATCACTGGTCATCAGGCATTTACATGTGGGTAGATACACTGGCAAAGAAACTTAAAATACAAGGGGAAAAAAAAAAGATTCACAATCAAAACAAAATTACATCGCCATTAATAATTTGTAAAATAGTTCATACTGCTTCAATAAACCAGAATACAATAGTATTAGTTTAATATAAAAGCACAAAAGACGAATAAGTCATACTTCACAAATATATCATACACATAAAAATGGCAGAATAGTCTTAAAGGGTCATATGATGCTTTTTTAAAGATCATTATTTTGTGTATTTGGTGTAACAGAATATGTTGACATGCTTTAATGTTCAAAAAACACATTATTTTTCAAATACTGTACATTATTGTAGGTCCTTTATGCCCCGCCTCTCTCAAACGCTAAGTTTTCTACAAAGTCCCTCCTTCCGACAAGCGCAGTCTGCTCTGATTGGCCAGCTGACCCAGTGCATTGTGATTGGCCGAACACCGCAAGCACTTGACGGAAATGTAACGCCCCTTACCATAATCACGAGCTTCAGCTTTCAAAATGAATGTAAAGCCAGAGCCTGAAAGGGGAACAGAGTCGTGTGACAGACAGTTGTAACACAGGTCAGAATTGAGCTGATCAGAAATAATAAATGTAATTTGAAATAATTATATTTTCATTTAAAATACCCAAAAAAGGGTGATATGATGTTCTCTCTCTCTCTCTCGCGCTCTCTCTCTCTCTGACTTTCTGTCACACACATGCGCGCGCACACACACACGATGCGCAAAACTCCACATTTTGACAACAGTCAATAGCAAATACTTAAACTAATAACAAAACAGTAGCTGATTCAGAAGCGCCAGATTGTCATAGCACGGTAGATCGCGGTTCAAACAGCGACATCCACAGTCGCCTGAAACAGACTGAACAGGACGATGAAAGAGCAGTATAAAACGGGTTTATGAAACAGCAGCTCACTCAGGCCACACCTGAAATATAAATGTAACAAGGACACGAATAAAATGCATAACTTCCATAATGGATTTCCCCCCTAAAACCCACTATGAATTTCTTACCTTAGGTGACTGTAAAAAATTGCTGTAAAAAAACGACCAAAATCTGACAGTAACATACTGTTTTCCATTAAAACAGTAATGTACTGTAGAAAACAATGCATTCTGGGCAATATTTTGCCGTTTAAGAAATTGCTGTTAATTTACAGCCAATTTTTAACAGTACTACTGTACACTACAGCAGACTTCATGCGTATAGCGCTCGCCACTAGACACACGCACCTCTAATGGCAAACACATTTAGACTGTGATTTACGGCTATGAGAAGGACCAATAAATCACCAGGAAAGAGGGAAAGAAGACAGAAGCTGATAAAGACTTCTACAGCCCACAGAGCATGAACATGAGCAATGCAATGCAAGGCGTGCGTTTTTATAACCAAGGAGACCCAACGCGCCTCAATCACTGTGAGCCACACAGGTGCTCAATGACACGACGCAGATAACGTCTGTTTATTCAAGAATAAAAAATAAAGGATACGAAATTGTATTTATGTGGGTTCCAGCGCAGATTGGTATTTTAGGAAATTAAAATGTAGACAAAATAGCTAAGCAAGCACTGAAAAGGAGAGTATAGATGCATTTATCAGCCTTTGAAGATCAGAAGGAAAGAGTATTGCATGGGGAACAATTATTAAAGAATGACAGCAGAGCTGGGATCAAGAGCTAAAAGGAAGACATCTATATTCATTGAAAAAAAAAGAGTTGACAGTGGAAAGTAAAGGGAAAAATCGGATACAACTTTATCCAGATTAAGAATAGGACATAATAAGTTATATATACACTTCATATTAGGGAAACACCCAACAGGACTTTGTCATCATTGCCAAAAACCTGAGACTGTAGAACATGTACTTGTTTATTGCGCAAAATATGAATTACAAAGGATGGTCATGATAAAACACATGGAGAGAATAAACAGGGAGTGGAGTAAAGAATATACTGGATTGCAGTAGGAGCGGGAAAGGAATGAAAATTTTATTTACATGGGAATTAACTATAGCTCCAGAAGATGGCGGTAATGCAACACCAAGGATATTAACCTTTGAGATGTAAACAAATATATAAGCAAACATCCGAAACGCTAAACCTGTCACACTAATTCTCACAGATCCATTTTCTCGTTACTGAGCATGGGATATCATTCCAGTTGTTCAGGAGAGATTTTGCAGGATTTAGTTCAATACAGTCTTCATTTCCACCTGTGTCATTCGGCTCATTACTTTCCCAAAACCTGAATTACATACAAGCAGTTTCAGTTCCTGAACAGATACAGCACTCACTCACTCACTCTCGTATATAAAAAACGAAACAAATGCAAAAGTTTCACAGTTGTAGAGTGGTCAGAGCTTTTCACACTGCGTTTAACTCCGGATTATCGTCGTTATAAAGCCTGCTTTTAACCCCGGGCAAAGATACGTCTCAATTAAAATCCGTTTGAGGGAAAAATTAGTGACAAAAAGCACGTGAATTTGCGTTAAAAATAGTTTTATTCTTACACTTATAATCCGAAAAGACTGCAGGTAAATCTTCATAATACAGTCGCAATATAGGCTATAATAGGAGGATGTGCAATGCTAGAGCTTTTACATAAACAGGTCGCGTGCCATTGACACAGTAAATATGTTAAATAGTTAACCTGGGGTTTAGAAATGTACAGTGTGAAATGTCTTCACGAAATTAATTAATAAGCCGGGTAAATTATGAGCAGTGTAAAACGTGTTAACCCGGGGTTTAGAATGACCCTATTTTTAAGTGTGAAAAGCACTTATCACTTACCCTTGTTTCAGTGTTGAATTATCTACCCATTTCATGTTGCCCTCGTTCTCTGTGTCAGACAAACCAATCCACACTCTCTCACTGACTAATGAAGATATGAACCTCTGTGTGTGTTTAAAATAAGAAAAGAGTGAGAATCTCCATTACATTGGTCTTCTTCTTTGTAATCTGGCAGTCAATTAAAACTAATCTCAGACGACCTTATAATGGATAAGAACAAATGAAATATACATATACCTGTATGTATATATATATATATATATATATATATATATATATATATTATTGTGGGC